TAATCCTCCAGAAAAATGTCGAAAAAATAAAACGTTTATACGTTACGTTTAACGTACGTTTATTCGTCAATTTTTTTTCGCCAATGATGGCAGACGAGCCAGCGGCCTACCTGATGGTAAGTGGTATGTCAATGGTCAATTTCGCAATTTGAATGGATCGATGGATGAACATGTTACCGCTAATTAGTGCAGATTACCTTATTTATCTCTATACTAAACTAGATAATCTGCAGACTGCCTAGGTAACGGTTTTACGGACTAACATGTGGTAGAATTAAATTTTGGTAAGGTTAGGTTAGAACAGTGACCAGTAAAGAGCGAACAAAACTAACGGGCCACGGGAGCGGCCGCCGAGCGCCAGATTTAGATGAGGTTATAACAGTATGATGTTGCAGTCAAGAGTGATTTTGACTGATTTTTTTCTTAAAGATAGTGGAGTGGGTAGGCATTTTAATTAAGATTCTTTTATTTTTGATTAAGAGTATTTTCAACAAATATTTATTTTATTATTTATTTCCTTTTTTTAATTATATGCACCACTGTTATGCGCTATTGTACCATTTTCTTAAATAAATTTCATTTTTCTAGACACGTCATTTTCACACTAATAAATTCAGTTTGTACAAATCGACCACTTCACACATTTCATTTCACACATAGTGTTGGAACAAATTTGTGCGAATCGAACACTAAGCCATATATATTTTTATTTTAGACAGCACTTTTAAATGCAAGGGGTGAAATTACCAATTGTAATCAAAGGTTAATTAAAAAATTAAAATTGGCAATTACACCTACTTTAGTCTTCTTCAAATAACTTTAAAACTATGTTAAAATTATGAAAATGATCAATTAATATTCAAAAAAAATCTGTGTTGTTTTATTTTGATATGTTTTATTTTGGTCCCAAAAATTTTAAAGAAATCGGTGTGGCAGATACAGTTAGAGTAATCTTTTATTTCATTATTGGACTTAAAGATTAACGACGTAATGATTATCTGGAGGAGGATAGTGGTGGTAGGTAGGACTTACCTGCCTTTTTTACTTTTTAATTCGCTTCAACATTATTGTGTTTTTTTTTTAAATTACTACACTATAATTTTATAAATAATTAGGATTATAAGACCGCTATGTAGGTGGGTGTCTAAAGAGTGTACCACCTACATACAGTGCTATTAATGGTACTAGTACTATTTGATTTTATTGGCGCCGATAATCAACGCCCATGATACGGATGATAAAACTGTAGATTCATAATTGCAAAGACATATATTAATTTAAAAAATATCGTAATTAAGTATCTTCGATGTTAAGGAATAAGACTTTTGTTCGTATTGGAGTTTTATATTATTGTTTGTTATGTATTTTAGTATTGGGAAATGTTTCTTTGCGAGAGCTTCTTTAGTGCATATGGGGAGCGGCATCGGCATCAAAGAAAACCGGTCTTAAGCAATAGGGATTATGCACGTCTTTTTTTATTTTTTTAACCTTTTCACTAGTTATTACATTACCAAATACAATACACAAGAAATATAAACCATTGAGCTAAAAAAAAATACAAAAATCACCATTATATTCGATTTAAACGCGGCCATTTTGGCGCTTATTTTGTGACGTCCGCGGTCAACTTATTACCATGGAAAGCACAGAAAAGTTTATTATAAATATTGTGTCTTTCTTACGTGCCAAGATAACATCAAAGCTGCACCTGACAAAGTATATTTCCTTATGCCGAAAGATCCAGGTAAAAGGAAAAAGTGGTGCAAGGCGATAAGAAGAGACAATGTATCGTGTTTTAGCTGTTTATGCTGTTGTGAAGATCATTTTTACTTACTTACCTGCACATAATTTTTTTTACAAACTTCGACGAAAACATAACCTAGTTTACGAAAAGTTGTAAAGATTGATTTAATAATTAGTTTTATTCTTTCACAATTCATGACTATTTTGTATTTTTAAGAATTATATAAGTATGTATGTGTATTTTAAGCCACAAGCATGTTGGGCTAGTAATTAAAATAATTAAATTCTCATTGGTTATTCATGAAAGTATTGCCTGTGCTTGCCTATGAATGAAAACATATACCTTATTAGATATACATATCCCGTATAATAATATGTTGATATTAAGTGCACTTAAAATTGTATGTAAGAGGGAAGTTCTAAACTAATTTTATTTACTTTCTAGTTTTATTTCTGGGTTTCAGATTGAAAAGAAGTATATGTATTAAGCAATTAATTATCATAATAAACACGTCTTTTTTAGAAAGATCATCTGATTGTGCTTTGACAAAACCAGTTTCAGTCATTGTGTTAAATCTTTCTTCACAAGGATTTAATACTTTAACACAGAAAACTAATAACGTAATATGAAAGAACCACAATACAATATAAAATAATAATCAACAGAAAACATACAAACAACTTGTTGACAGATGACATCGAGTGAAATTTGACGTTACGTTTTGTTCTACCAATAGCGTTTCGCTTAAGAAATTTGTGAGAGAATTTCAAAAAGCTACTTTTTGATGATTATTTTTAAATACATACATATTATGGCCAAATTACATCCAGACTCAGAACAAACGACCGTGCTCATCACACAATATTTATACTAGGTGGGAATCGAACCCACGACCTCCGGTTTAGCAGTCAGGGTCACTAACCACTGGACCAACAGGCCCGTCAAAGGTGTATAATAATATGTTGATATTAAGTGCACTTCACATTGCATGTTTGTAATGTCCACCGCAATGCAGGGCGGATTTTGCGCGTGTGTTAAAAAAACAGTTATTACTTGAAGTAAAATGTTAGAAATATTATACTTGAAGCAAGCAACAGTTATCGTTAATATTCATACGTCTACAAAGCTTATCTATCACATTACAAAATCGGCGTGTGTGCTTTATTCGAAGCTACACATCCACTAATTGAAGTGTTATGTGTTTAATGTAAATTTTAATTCTATCATAAGTGCAATAATTATTGTGTGCCGTTAAATCTGAATATATTATTTCCTCAAAACCACCCACGAGAAAAGGCAGAAGTTAACAGTAGTAGTCTCGAAGTAGAGTCGGAAGAAGGAGAGTTTACATAGAGATTTTTAAAGGCATGACTTTTTGTTAAGATAGCTGTGTTCCTTGTTTGAGAATCTATCCTTTGGTCTATATAAACTTAGTTTTATGTATATAATTAATAAAATACACACTCTCTGAATGTATGTAATTCATGACGACTGAACGATAACCAATTAATAAAAGCGTAAACAAAAAGTGCAATATCAAGTTCACAAAGTATAAAGTACCTAGTAACCAGCACACCATAGATGAAAGTACTCCTAAATACTGATTAACTTCTTGAATTACGATAGTGTAAATATTTAAAACGCATTAAAGTTTGTATACAAAGTAAATTGCATGACTCGTTTTTATCACTTTGCAAATCGTTTAAATTAAGCTTTAAAATTTAATAAATAAAATACATAGCTGTCTACATTTTTATTGATATCATAAATAGAACATCTTAATTAATATTTAAAACATATTCATCTTATGAATTCCATTTGTCAGTATCTATCGTAGCTAATCCAACTGAAACTAGAAGTATTACACTTAAACATTCAATATAGAAATAAAAAACCCTTTAAATGCCGAGCATAGTTTATTAGAAGAGGACGAACATATTTCTGTCACTATGTAGTGAATGGGCAGAACTCGCCCCCTCCAACTGCGCAAGCGCGCCTGTTTTGGTACCGCACTCGGGTGACAAACATTTTACCTGATTTCAATGCGGAATATTTTTTATATATTATTAAATATAATTATTATAACGTAAATGACATTTTTATTAAATTTTACTTGACTAAAAAAATATTTACAATGTTGAAATTTACATTTTTTTATGAAATCATCTAAATCAACTTAAGAGACACTTTAACATATATGGCTGCCGGTAAAACTAAGTATTTTTGTGAAGCGCTACTATAACCAAATAAGAATCTGACCCCTACCGCATGGCTCCACTACAGCTTCACACTTGTATAGTGGGAGTGTACCATGCACTCACCAACACAGCGACAGGCGAGCCCTCAATGCTGCCTCCTGCCGACACGCACACCACCACACCGCGGCAATATCTTTACGTACACAGGCACTCTCAGTTCTCTACACAACCTCCTCAACTGCACTCACGCGCACTAAAAAAAGATAACGCGATCTATCGATCTTTTTCCAAATTCAAAAAAAGACGTCGCAAGATAGCCTTCATGACTATAGTTGGATAGAACTGACGTCTGCCATTGAACGCGTCGCTACACCACCAACATTTATTTCAACTACAATATTTATGACATCGTAATTAATTAAACATGTCGTTTTAATTATGTAAATACAAATGGGTGATAATCGATTTAAATTATGTGTTTTGATCTCGCTCGCTTAATTTAATGTAAACAGATATTTATCATTTTGTGACATTTTTACGGTTTTAAAGTTCGGGTGATATAAATTTTAACGCGATGTTTTTTGAAAAGGCTAGCTGACAGTTCAGTGCCGGGACTATGTACGAGTTTCGCTGATAGTGATACTGACTTTGTGTTCTACTACTTTAATGGAATCGCACTGAATCTCATACCATTATGGAACGTCACCAAAATGGTATGGATGTGTGGGTAGGTAAGGGAATATAAGTTTTTATATTATTTATAACTATATTACATTAACATCATGTCTATGCAATCTAAAGTAAATTAGCAAAGATTAAACTACACTGCTATACAAATTTTGACACCTTTTAATTATCCTATTCGACCAACATTAAAATGTTTGCAAACGCACATTAAGGGATTTATAACTTTTCCAATAAGAAAAATATACTGAATCTTCAACAGTAACTAAACTATCAATAAAATAGTATTGTTATTATCATACATTTAAAATACATGTATAACTTTTCACTATAGTTTTAGCTATAAGTATTTATGAAGTAATTTATGTGTTGAAATGGCTATCATATTGTGTCTTAAAACTAAAATTGATAATAGGGCAAGGGCGCGTCAACCAACTGGGTGGATTATTCATCAATGGTCGTCCCCTGCCAAACCATATCAGACTGAAGATCGTAGAGATGGCCGCAGCTGGAGTGCGGCCCTGCGTCATCTCGAGACAGTTGCGCGTCTCGCACGGCTGCGTCTCCAAGATACTCAATAGATACCAGGTGAGTAACAATATACGAAGAAATTTGTATAAAACTAACAATAGTAAGTATTTCATAAAACATGGTCCGACAAAAACTTAAAAAAATCATAGACAAAAATAGAGTTGACAAAAGCTAGATTAAGTCAACGATTACAATTTGGAACGCTATTAGAAACTACAGCTCAAGTTCCATTTTAACAAATTTTGAACTACGATACTAAAATATATATTTTTAAAACTAACGACTTAACTTTAATTACCTTATAACTTCCTCAAAAACATAAAGCAGAGGTATAATTGTTATCTAATTTGAATAAAGATTTGAATAAAATAATAACTTTTAATAGCAGTCTCTCACGTGACCATTGTTATTGATATGAAACGTTAGTTGTTATACGAGTATACGTAAATATTTATATGTATTACATATATATTTTAGAATTCGCTTAATACAAAATATAAAACATTTTCACAGTGGGTAGCATCCATCATTCTAAAACTAAAAAGAAACAATAATACTAACTTAGTTCCAATAGATGTTATCAAATAGCAAGTTTAATGAGTCTTGTAATAACCCATTAAAGTTACTATTTGACAATAGTTTTAGAACTACCAGCACTTGAGTAGCGATCTTTAATTCTTTTCAATCATATCTTATTGGATATTCATAGCTAACTGTGAGTAAACTTTAAGTGTCTTATTATGACTGAGTGCAGTAATAATTATAAATAATAGTTAAAAACAATGAGTATAAAGTAAAAAATCTAAATATACAAATTTGTCCGTAAATATAAATTAAATGTGCTGATACTGATGTTTTATGCATATCGACTGGTCAGCCGGTAAACAATTGCCATTGATCTCTTGCCCAGCCGAGCTTGAAGGCTCGTTTTCACCACCGTTCCTATACACACTATAACACTACAATAATGGCGATTGTTTCGCTCCGGAAACGTTTCGCTACGCTCCACGAGTATAGGGAACGACCTCAGCTACTACCTGCTTACATACATACATCTAGAATGTCACAGTAGAAAACTTTTAAGTTTATATAGTGTTTAAAAATATACCATTTTATGTTTTGTAAGGAAATATCTTACCTCAAAAGTTTTTTTATACTGTTGATTATGTTTTGCCTTAAAAAATTAAAAGTATGTACAAAAAGAGCAATACATAGGTCAAAATATACATTTTAAGACACGCAAAAAAGTAAACATATACACTTACAATTTATAATACTTTCCATAACTCTCTATACAAATTTCTGTCCGCCTTAACCAGTCTTGGAAACACTTTTTTAAGACTTCCTCCGACAGGTCAAAAATGGCTGATTCGTAGGCAGCCATCACTTCTTCAGCACTTAAAAAAAACTTGCCTTTTATCTTATCTTTTATGGAGGGGATTAAAAAGAAATCGCAAGGAGCTAAGTCGGGGCTGTAAGGTGGGTTTCAATAGACGATTCTTGAATAAAAGTGTGAAGACGCATTGTCGTGGTACAGTATCATTCCCGGAGCCCGGGTTTTTGGTCGTCACTCCTGCACAACTTTGAAAATGTTGGCAATGCGACTGTAGTGTACCATTCTGAGTTAACACACACACAACATGCTGCAAGATGTCCACACCGTAAAAAACAAACTGGCCACCATTTTTTTACCAATATTCTGCTATCTTTACAATTTTGTTGGCAACTGGACAACTGGAAACACCCATATCGAGGAGCGCTTTTTGCTTTCCGGATCATATTGATAAATCCATGTTTTGTCGCCAGTAATGATTTCAGAAACTCGGTTTCGGAGAGTAAACGAGGTATCCAACTACAACAAAGCTTTCTCATTCTAAGATGTTCATGTTACATGTTGTGAACACTGACCGAACTGATACCTAAGTTCTTGTGTCTATGTCCCTTAATGTAATTCGTGGGTCATCCCGCCCAAGCATTTCAGTAGTCCACACATTTTCAGCAGTGACTGCTGTTGGCGGGCGTCCACTTCTATCATCATCTTCAAGGCTAGTTTACCCCACTTTTAAATTCGTTAAACCATCTAAAAATGGTTGCCCGAGAAGGAGCAGACTCACCTAAAGCTGATTTTAAGATTTTAAGTTCTAAGCTAAAACCTTCAGATAAACCACATTTAAAGTCGTAATATATCAAATGTTTACGTTTAAGCTCCATTGTAGCAGACGAAAAAGCGGGAAATTATGTCAGTATATAACTTCTAATTTAAAGAAGCGGTGGCGACGAATGTGAATCAGCCATTTTTGACCTGTCGGAGGAAGACTGGAATAAGTGTTTCTAAGACTGGTTTAGGCGGATAGAAATTTGTATAGAGTGATGGAGAGTATTATGAAAAAATATTACATACATTTCTTATCTTAAAATTTATACAGTAACCTACGTAGCAGATGAAAACTCGGTAAATAATGACAGCATAATACTTCTAATATATTTTTTTTATTTTTATTACCGTGAATGGTATTTTGTGTTCGATTTACAAAAACAAAGCGTTTCAATAATATATGACACAGATGCATTCCATTTTCAAATTGCAAACATCTAAAAACTTATACATAGTGAATGCAAGAACTCCTTCGTGATTCACTAAAATGTTTCAAATTGCATTGTTGACTTTCTCTCTCTCATCAGCAATCGTAGTAGCGAAAAAAATAAGATATATACTTAATAATATATGTAACCCTCACAATTGGATAAATGATCTTAACAATTACACGTTTATAAGTAATCTAAGGCTAAGAAATGTTTTTTTTTAGTTATATTTATTGACAATGGTTCAATTTAAAATAAAAGCAATACAGAAAATAGGAATTATATATGTTTATGTGGTTTTAGGATTGAGACACATACGTCCCTATATGCGTTAAGGTATACAGTTTTTTATGTATAGCAAAAAATATGATATTGTAAATAAAACACAAAATACAGTATTAAAAATAAATTCTTTATTATGGAATCATATTGAAAATACAAAATATAAAATTTAATTATATTCAGCAAAACAATTAGGATCTGAAGTATAACATAAGTGTACATTACATGTACTGCAAGTGTTATTTGTCCGGTTTTCGATGTGACTTTTTGCACACTGTACGCATATTTTTCTGTTGTCCACTTTAACCATGGCATGGAAAGGTGCTCCGCGTTTTTGAGCAAGAGAAATTCGCTTTTTCGTCATGACAACTGAGCATAAAGCTCTTTGTCGACACGAAAAACTACCAATAAGGGAACGGACCACTATTTGGCGAAATTCTAGGCTTGAAAGTAATGTTCCTTCAACGAGTTTTGTTTTGTGCAGCTTGCAATATATTATATACGAGTTATTCATCGCAACATCTAGTACGAGTATATCGAAATATAGTCTCAGGTAGTATTTCATTTATGCATTTCGACCCACTTTGTAGCATACTTTTTTCTGGTCCATGAGATCGACCCCACCCATAAATTTGTTGTACTTTACAACAATTTCAGGACATGTTACATTAATTTTGTCACCACTACCTTGTACCCGTCTCTTGACTGTTAACTTTGGTATGGGTGAAAAAAAGAAAGTAAAATAGTCACTTCAAAAAAGTTGTACTCCGGGATTTCATCAAAATTACGAGGCGAGTATGAATTTTTTCGCCAGTCGAATGTAGGATCAGTAATGCCAGGATCTTGATTTTCAACCAAGAACTCTTCTAGAGGCGTGGAACTGGGTTCTATTTCAAAAGTGGATTTACCCGCATCAATATCTTGCGCTATAAACGTTTGATCCTCTTTATCAAGGAGCAGGCCATCGTCGTTGTCGCTGTTGTCAGCAATCAACACTTCAAAAATGTTGTCATCCCGCAGCAAAAACTCTCTGCGTTGATTTGATGACATGGTCTACAGCAAAATATACAATAATAAGAAAAAATAAGTGAAAATAACAAAAAAGCGAACATTATCAATAGTTATGGTAAAATTTCTCCTTTGATGCACATAGGGACACCCGCGTCCCATATCATTTATTCACATAATATGCATTACATTTACAAAGGAAACGTAAAATTCGTAATAAAATGATAATTATACTTACCAATGAATATAATACAGATGAGAAACAACTGAGAAAAGTTTTTATTTAATTACAATTATTTTTTTAAAGTTGATGGCAATAAAAAAATATTTTAACTTTTCACGCCGGTGTTTTTTTTTGTATTGCCAGTGCACAGACATGCAAACATACTGTAAATATTAAAATGAAAAATCGACTATACGTTTAACTTACCTAGTTTATTTGAAAATAGCAAAACAAACGCGGGGACAAATGTGTCCCATATGTGTGAAAGGGTTAATAGTATGTTATTAAAACTCTTTTTATATTATTATGCTCAATTTAGTCATTTATCAAATCCAACAAAAAAAAACTTGTTTTCTATTGTCTGAATGTTCAGTAACTATAACGTATTACAATGAGAAAAGTCCTTTTATTTTTTTCTTTGTATTTAGAATCTAGTTTTTTTCATTTGAGTAATATAAGATACAAAGTAAAGCATATTGAAATACGGTCCATTTACATGTTTACTCAACAAACAAAGTACTGTTAGATTAGGTTAGCAAATAAAACTATGTTACTTTTTATGAGATACTTGTCTGAGGAAATAGAACTAATACTCGTAACGCTTCTATTATTTTCTTTATTACAAAACTTGTACCAAATACCTTCACTTCAGGAAATTGTATTGTAAATCACTAATCATCATCACCAATTCGTATTTTAGTAAATATACTAATTTCAAGAATATGATTTAGTGTATTTTAAATATTGTGTATATTCAAATTCGGAAGGCGGTAAATAAGATTGACAAATGGTAAAGGTTTTCACACGTATCTTAATCTCTTAATGTATCGCTTATTTTAATTTTTCTTGATAACGTACCTGTATTTTGTTTTCAGCTACTAATTACTCGTAGATCGATGGTAACATAGACAAATGTTAAGTTTAAATATAAATTTAATGAGGGATATTATTCTTTACTTTAATTTCATATTTGAATACATATAAACTTGCCCGAATCATTGTAGTTTTTTTTTATTAAAAATCTAAATGAAGTTCTATTTGCTGAGCAAAGTAAAAATATTTAAGTTACGATAAGATTTTTTTGTTATTTAAATGTTAAGATAAAATAATATGTTTATTTTATATTAGAGTTGTTCAAGTATGAATAGATATTTAACATTTACACCACCTTTTAGTTCTAGAAATATTGTTTCAATACTGTTGGAAACGATTTTATATTTTTGCCCAATACTTTATTGTTCTCTAGTGCAGCAAAAAATAACTTTTTTCTATTGGTTAACAAATAATCTCTATTAATAATTGCATTCTCCAATGTATAACTATAGCAAAAATAAACATAATGCAAACTCATTTACGAAAAGCATTTATTTATTGCCTAGATTAGAGTACTCGTTTGTTCTACCACTTTGACATGGCTTGTGTAAATAATTTCTTATTTTAAAATGTTCTCATTTTCTCTCTTTGTATCATTATCTTTGAATTACTTAACAAAATTATCTATCTCTTGGTATTAATGATATTATCCCGGCCACAGTTTCTTTCGTTCAGTTTTATAATTATTTATTTCTACAAACAATTGAATGATTGATGGATGATTTTTATGGTTTAAACAGGTTTTTTTCAAAAGTGATATTAAACATTAAAGTAAATATTTCTTCTAACATTAGAAAACATTTAAAGATAATTTATTTTTGAATTAAATTTAATGCAAAAGTTTATTTCAGCTATAACAACCCTAAACTTGTAAGTTGTACGTTAATTATTCTTAACGTTTTATACATTATATTTATATATTTTCTTTGAATATACAAGCAAATGGAATAGATTTTTAAATACATGCAACTCTACGTATAGATTGTGTGTGTTTTGGTTCTGTAAACCAGTTGTTGCAGAAACGTGTATATAAGTCTTATAATAGACTACGTAGATAAAGCAATGCGCTAAAAAGTTCAGGAAAAGTCGTTATTTTTAATTTGGCAATATTTTCGTAAACAAATTAATTTTTTTTTTTTTTTTTTTAATATTGTAACCACATTCACACAACGCCATCTAGTCCCAAACTAAGCAGAGCTTGTACTATGGGTACTAGACAACTGATATAAATACATATATACTTTTTTTTTGTAAATACATACTTATTATACATAGAAACACCCAGACCAAATCAAACATTAAATGTTCATGCACACAAATATTTGACTTGAGCGGGAATCGAACCCGCGACCTTTGGAATAGCAGTCCGTTACACAAACCACTACGCCATTCGGTCGTCATAATTGATCGATAAAGGCAAATTTTATAAAGAGAGAGGGATAATATAAATTAAATGGATATTTAATTCTATATTTCATGCAATTATTATTTATTATAAATTGTTTAGGCAATGAACATTACAAATATAAATATAGATTGAAGACTTCACTCTTAAATAAATATCAAACACTAACTAGACTTTACCAAAACTTTTGACAAATATTGTAATCAAAAATACGACATGACGACGCACGTGTAACAAAAGCTGAAATGTTAAAGACCTTTGGTTACTGATCCCTTATACTGAACTTATAATAAAACGATCTCTCTCGCCTAGGAGACGGGTTCAATTAGACCAGGCGTCATTGGGGGATCGAAACCAAGAGTCGCTACACCAGAAGTGGAGGCGAGAATTGAAGAGCTCAAGAGACAGAATCCTGGAATATTTTCGTGGGAAATACGAGAAAAACTCATCAAGGTAAACTCCCAACTGTCTAGTAAGTTACTAGATTTAGTTATGTAAATGTATATATGTTTAGCAGAGCCAATTTATGTCAGCGTTCTTTACTATTTACCAAATAAACAGTAGGATCTCACCATTCCAAGATCTTTAAGGAGGTCTGAAAAGAATGTCTTAGAGAGTACTTTCCCTCTAAAGACTTCATACTTTTCAGAAGAAAAAATACAGGTAAGGTCGTCACTGGTTACTCTGTACGTCTCTTTTATATTCTGTTATTTATAACAGTTTAAACTTAAACAACAACAACAGATTACTTTAAAAATAAATGTTATTAATATCATGGTAGGCTTTCAATGGCAATGAAGGAATTAGTTTCATTGAAATGAATCAGATTAAATGATATGATCTTCTAAAAATGTTGTTGGTTTTTTTTATCACTTAATATTATCCAAAAATATTGGAATAACCTACTATTTTCAACTATCGGATTAGGTGATTACATCAGCCTACACGATTTTCTAAATAAAAAGCTCTATAGAGCAATCCGCATGATTGAATTTATTTATGGAAACGCTAAGTAAGCTCATCACTTAAGGTAATTGTAAAGTTTTACTCTGTCACTTACAGATTACCTCTTCTCGTATTATAGTATAATACATTATACAAAAATAAGTTAATTCTTTTCTCTTAGTAGTCTTTCTTTTTTTTCTACTAAGAGAAAAGAATTAACTTATTTTTTACTACTTTATACTCACTTACTTTATACTATACTTTATACTACACAATATATTACGAGTATTACCTACTAACTTTGTCTGCGTCCATCATCTTTATGCTTTGTGTAGCCTGCTACGAGTACAAGCTTATATATTTATTTTAAGTTTTCTTATATTCCAAAAAGTTATTTAATCACTTAAAATACTACAAATCCAGAAAAATGCATTGGCCCTAATACATGTTTCTGGATATGTACGAGTAGTGTTTTAAGTTATTATTATAAACACAATTTATAATAATAACTTCACACACGGCAGTCTGATCCCAAACTTAGCAGAGCCTGTGCTATGGTAACTAGATTGCTGATAAACATACTTATATATTTTTAAATACATACATATTACGGGTGTAGATAAATTCCACCCAGACTCAGAACAAATGACGGTACCACTAACCACTAGACTAATAGGCCCGCATTTAAAAGCAATTCTTGGTTTTATCATTGTCCTATGTGATTTTACCTTTAATTTAAAATATCAGTATCGCAAGCCATGACAAAGAATATCCAGCCTCTTTCTTTTCGAGATGAATTATAACTTTGATACGATCGGACATCAAACATAAAAATGTATTAAGTATTGGATACTTAATATTGTATATATATATTAGGAATAAGTCAATAAGAATTTCTTTTTCGAATTACAGGAAGGTGTGTCAGACCCACCCAGTATTTCTTCAATCTCGCGACTACTTCGCGGTGGTGCCCGAGACCCAGACGGCAAAAAAGATTATAGCATCGATGGCATACTTGGAGGTAAGGTAGTTTTATTTAGATGCTATTTTCAGGACTTTATCTCGATGCAATCTAATTAATTTGCGAGAAATAAATAAGCCTGTTACTTTGTAAAGAGCTTACAGTAAGCAAATATATAGTAGAAACATATCTTAACAGTAAAACATAATAAAAATTATTTTCCTCCTAAAGTTGAAACCCCAATAAAGCCTAAACTTTTCGATACGCCTAAAAGGTTCATACTGTAACTTCCGATAAAATATAAAACTTAGTCGTCCCAATAAACATTGCACAACTTCCCCTCAGCCACAAAAGGTTATTTTGCGACATTAACAGCCGCAACCTGTCAAAGCTTTCTCACGAGTGTTCAAAAAATCAATTTCCGCACACAAATCTTACGACGTCATTGTTGCGATTTGAAATATTGAAGTTTGTTCACGATGCTTCAAAGGGCGGCGTTCGTTTGCGAAATAAGGCAATGGGTGAAAAAGATGACCGACACTTTGTCGTGCCACAGTCACCCGCCGCGCTTTCGATAGTGCTGAAATACGAACAATCCACGTAACATGTTTTGGTTGTGGCGTCATTGTTGCTCTATTTTGTCGCCAAGTTTAATTGTTGTTTGAATGTATCGTATGTACCTGTTGCCGGCGGTATTTCCCGTGCAAAGTCATGCCGCCCACTTCGTCCGCCTTTAGTTTCATGCAACTTTTTATCGGTCTCGTTTTCTGTAATAGTGTTTATTTTATAGCGAACGCAACTTATAGTTCGCAACAATATTTAATGTATAATAAAGAATTCGAGGTATCCCGTTTTATAGTTACCTCATGTTTTTGTTTGACTCTTAAAATTTAATTAATGATTTACTTAGGTTAAGTGAACCACTAGAATAAATTACTAGTTTAATGAAAGTTTCCTGGTCAGTCGCTCATAATCAGATTGGCTGTATCTGACCCTTCCTTCAATAAGTAATATGAATGAATGCAACTACCTGATCACAATTTCAATACGAAGTCTGGTGAATACACTGGTGTCTGGTGACTAATTTTGACATTTGGTTATTTGAAATCTACTACCATATTTTTTTCAGCAATACCTACATCTGAACGCCTGCCACAAATTAATACTAATGTTACTTTCTGTTATTTACCTTTATTGCGGACGGTTTGTATGTTCTATGTAGGATTGTAATACAACTAACTGGATTGTCCAATCCTTAAAAAGTCTTACAGGTTTATAAAATAAACATCATACAAAAATATTTGAGATTAAAACTAATCAAGTACATGAACATTGATCAAAAAGAGAATTATCTGAAACATGTTAAATGATGTAAAACCTACTGTCTAAGTAAGTTTCGATGGCAAAATGAGTCATATTATTATTCTGTGATATATGTATATACATGCATTTATACACACTAATAAACCACACAATCCTACAGACAGCTATCATCACAACTTACGCATACTTGCATCAACAGACCTTCTGTGGAAGAATTTCCTCATTTCCAAATTCAATTCTAAATTAAAAAAATCAGTATTAAGTTCAGTGAGTTAGTAAGTTGTTTGAAGCAACGAGCGCTAAGAATTCATTCCACAATTTAAGCGTCTAAGCAAAGAAGTTCTTTTGGAACTACTAAGAAGCAGAAAGGTTACGTAGGCCCCTAGGTATGCAGTTCCCACCCGCTCACTTATTAGAGTGGGGGGAACAGAGGTCGAGGTTGGCCAACACATAAAATACCTTGGCCTCACCCTAGACAGCCGCTGGAGCTTCGGGGAGCATTTCGAGCGGATGATCCCCCGAGTTCGTGGGGTGGCGGGCTCCCTACAGAGGCTGTTGCCTAACCTAGGGGGTCCGCGGGAGGAAGTTCGCCGCCTCTATTGTGCGGTGATACGATCCATGGCCCTCTACGGAGCGCCGATATGGGCCAAGCGCCTATCGGCCTCCTCCCGCTGCCGAGCTAAGCTCAATCAAGCGCAGCGGATAGCGGCCATTCGGATCGTACGAGGGTACCGCACTATTTCGTCGGAGGCGGCGACAGTCCTGGCACGTTTCCCGCCCTTTGATATCCTGGCGGATATGGATGCGAGGGTCTATGACCAGACTCGCGCGATCCGCTGGGGTGAGAGCGGGGAAGGCCAGGACGCGCTCGAAATGCGGCGGAACGCTCACCAACATGCACTGGTGCAGTGGCGCGTGCGGCTGGAACAGCCACAGAATGCACGCCAACGCGCTGTCAGCGCTGTTCTGCCTAACCTCGAAGCCTGGGTAGGTAGGGAGGGAGGTCGCGTCACCTATCGACTGACGCAGGTACTCACTGGGCATGGTTGCTTCGGTGAGAACCTGAATCGTATCGGACGCGAGGAGACGGCACAATGCCAGCACTGCGCAGCCGACTGGGACTCCGCCCAGCACACGCTGGAAGACTGCCCCGCGTGGGCGTCTGAACGCGAAGTCCTGGTCGGCCAAATCGGAAGAGACCTGTCCCCGCCAGCAATCATTGCTGCCATGCTGGCGGGTGAGGAGGGATGGGGCGCAGTGGTCTCTTTCTGTGAAGCTGTAATGCTCCAGAAAGAGACCGCTGAACGGGATCGGGAGAGGGCCGACCATACCAGCCGCCGACGGGGCCGCGGGCCGCCAGAGAGTGGGGACCTCTGGTCGCTGATTGAATGTTGCGGTAGGGGATAGGATGGCGGCCTGATTGCATTAAGACGAAAGTGGGCCGCCACGTCGCGATTGAGGGGGGAAGTGATTTTCCCCTGGGATAGGGCCTGACTAGGCATGGTGTCAATTCGGGGAGGACCTGAAATAAGATGGTCCGGGTCCTCCCAGAGTAGGACACCTGAGGCCGGCCGTCGGGGTGGTTTTTAGTGGAATCACCACATACTCCTAGCTCCTAGCCCCGAGGAGCAGGAGATCCGAAGGGATTTTCCACCCCGTCAACAAAAAAAAAAAAAAAAAAAAAAAAAAAAAAAAGGCCCCTAGGTAACTTTTCTTGTTCATATTAACATCATATATTTTTTTTTATTAACACCTCGAAAACCATACATGCCGTAGAATAAACAATCGAATCAGCAAGATATTAAATATATGAAAAAAATGGATCACTTATGAGTTTAAAGCCTATTTACTATATGTATTTGCGCCAATATACATAGTTCTTTTTATTTTTGCTCTGCATATACGAGAGTCATAAAATAAGAGATATACAGGGTTACTGGGTACTTACCCAGTAACCCTGTCGGTTTACTTAGACCTAGATACTTTAAGGGGTTGCAGTTACCATCATTTCTGATAGATTTCATTATGAAATGTTGATATATATATATATAAGTACAAAGCTACACAGCCATTGCACATTCAGTCTATTAAGAAATAAGAGCGTGAAGTGTACGACTTTTATTTACCATTTTATTAGATAGGTAAGTAGGTGGACGATCGATAACTTCTTAACGGTTGGAGTATGCAATCAGAGTAATAATTACGCCATAATATCGAATTTATGACCCATTCAAATGTAATCAACAACTGTAGGTATAGATTCTGACTTAAACTTAACGTAGGTTGTGCGTATTCATATTTTATTTATCAACTCTTAGAACTGAAATTATGGATCCGATTAGATCCTAAAAAATAAACTTATAGCTGTTTTTTTAATCTAAATCCATAAATAGGATGTTAATGTCTATAACTGATCTAAGTAAAACTTGCTAAAACATGATTGATTAGGGGATGATCGAAATAACAAAACAATTGTACGTTGAAACAGTAACACTTCTTATAGTACATATAATTTATATAATATTACATCAATTATGTTCAGGTTTATTTAGAACTCAGGCCTGGGGGTGACAGGTGAGGCCATCTGTCACCCTAGCAGAAGCAGGCCGGGGTGGCGGCGAGCGCGTTGCGAAGCGCGCTCGCTTCCAGGGAGCACAGGGAACATGGGGTTCCCACACGGGGCGGGGGTCGTCTACTCGTCTGTAGATGACCCGAGGTATGTCGGGGCACCAGGGCCTTCCTTTCTAGGGTATACCTGGTTCCCCGGCTATTAGTACCCGGCGAAGGCGTGCGGTTTTAGTCGGTTCGAGTCCGACATGCCACCGATAGGTGGTATCCGAGGGGATTTCCGCACGGAAAAAAAAAAAAAGGTTTATTTAGAACTCAATTACTTGTGTAAATAAACGAATGTTAATTTACATTAATACCTACTACTACGACATGTCGAGAAGCAAGGATAGCATTAAGGTAAAATACATAGATACTTTTTAAGGGGACTCCCAAATAATCCAAAATATTTTATTCCGAATTTCGATGTTCCGATTTTTAAAAGTCCGATTTACATGATTTCATATTCAGAAAGTCGTTAATGCTATGTGTTTGTTTTCCGATTTTTATACATTCGAAGTAACAAATTCTCGATGGGTTCTCGGTCCGAAAACTACGAAATTACGATTATAATTAATTCTTCGAATAAGGCGCTAAAATTAAGATTCTTATTTTTTGTAAAGTTAGAGTATAATTATGTAATATTAATTTTTTTAGCTTCTATTGAAATATAAAATTTTTACCCATCTTTTATTAAAAAACGTCTGATTTATTATTAATATTTGTATATTAATTTTTTTTGTGTGTTTTATTCTTCTTCTTATATACACCTGCGTCGGGTACCATCTACTGTTAATGATTTTTTGGGTTAGGTTGGGTTAGAACTGTGACCTTTAAAGCGCGAAGGCAAGCGAGCGGGCCGCGGCCGCGGCCGCCGAGCACCAGATCCCTCTTTTTTTTCTGTGCGGAAATTCTCTCGGATACCACTCACCGGTCATTTGGGTAAGATTAAGTTAGAACTGTGTACAGCGAAAGGAAATATTTTTATTCGAAAATAAAATAGAAAGCATTCAAATTTTTGATGTTTCGAATTATTATAAAAATAGGATGATTGATCAATCGGTTTTGTTATATTAGGAATATTGAACCTTTCAGAATTATGAAAATCGGTATTTTAAAATTCGTATTTG